TTTTTTTTTTTTTTTTTAGCTCTGGACTTCTGATCAGCTACACTGACACAAGCTCAAACCCTAGCCCAAGGAGCTCATCTCTCTATATAAAAGGAACAGAGATCTCTGTCTCAAGATCCCTTTCAAATTAGATAGGAATTCTTAAGGTACCCATGCCAGAATAAAGTGCAGCCTCGAACCTTTGTCCAGCCTCCCTTCCCATGGGCCATAACATTGACATGGGCTGTACACCGAGGGGGGGTAAATGTAAACAAGAATTTACAAACTACGTTTGTTGATGTTATGTACCATCGGAGGATCTCTTCCCTCATAGCAGGATTTCAAAGATAGTAAAATTGCACAGGAGGAGATTGCCCATCCTTCCCGCATGGACCTGCTGGGGAATCCAAGCTGAGCTCCTTTTATCAGAGCTCTCTTTACAAGCTATAGTTTACATCTCTTTAGTGTCAGGCTGATGTTGTTAGACTTGTCCCATGAATTTTTACTCACAGTGAGTTCAAGTGACAAAGTAGAAACTGTCTAACAGGGTTGGAATTTTTAACTTTTTATTGTGATTTGAGTAGCAATCTTAGGCAGTACTCTTTTTCCTTCTTGAAAACAAAGATTCCCACCACTGCACCCGTTGGCAGCATCATGATAGCCAGTGAAGAAATTGAGATTATTCACAGCTTTAGTTTGGCTCCACAGTCAACACTCTTGGCACCAGCAGCCAGGAAATTAAAAGAACAGGTTCAGCCTAAAGAGGGTCAAACCAGGCTTCTCCTTGGAGGCAAGGATCCTGAGGCTTCATCTGACATACTTTGGACATGTTACAAGGAGGGACTGGTCCTTGGAGAGGGACGCCATGCTTGGGAGGGTGGAGGAACAGCGTAGGAGGGAAAGACCCTCTATGAGGTGGATTGATTCAGTGACTGAGGCAATTGGGGTGGGTGTGTTGGAGACAGTGAGATTGGCATAGGACAGAGCAAGGTTTAAGGCTGTTGTACATAGGGTCGCTATGAGTCCTAAGCGACTCAATGGCACATAACAACAACTTGTTGTGTACCATCGAATTGGATCAGACTGGCACAAGAGATTGTCCCTCCTTCTGCAGTGGAGTATCTGGTGGATTTGAACCATGCACCTTCAGGATTGCAGGGTAGCTACTTGCCACTAGGCCACCAGAGCTCCAAGCTGTAGTCCCTATGGGACCACATCACTATGTCTTCCTCCTACAGATCTTTCAGAGGGATTTGAACTCCTGATTCCATTAGCAGCCAAGCACTTACCAATGGCTACTGAGAGACATAGTTTTGTTCCAATGACACCTTCTGGGGAAACTGTCCTTCATACTCAGGCCTCATGTTGGGCCTTGTGGAAAAGCTATAAAACCATCAGTCCCTCCCTTTTGGCTCTGAATACTTGCATGCACACCTTGCATCACAGGTACTTATATTCTTGTTTTACCCTCTCCTCTAAACACCTGTGTGCTCCCACAGCCCCAGAGAGTTGAATGTCTCTCCAAGACAGACCTATTTGCTTTCTTGGTAGTCGATAGTATGTTCAAGACTCTTCTCCAGCACCACAGTTAAAAGGCATCCTTCTATCATCCTTACTCATTGTCCGTCTCTCTGATGCATAGCAAGTGCTGGCAAAGGCCATGGCCTGGATTAGGCACACCTTAGTCTCTGGACTGGCCTCTTTGCTTTTTAGTATTCCGGACAGGTCACTGACAACAGATTTTCCCAGTGCAACTCATCTTTTGATTTTCTGTTTGAGGGGGATGTAAAACCTTTGAAAAGGGCTAGTAATGATGGTTGCACAACAAGGTGAATGTAATTATCACTGAACAGTCCATTTTTAAAAGTTTGAAATGGAAAACTTTTGGTTCTGTTTTACTCCAAAAGAATAAACAAACACACGACAAACACACGTTTCCCCTCCCTTGCTTCCCCAGACTCTCTGATCAGCTTCATAGAACCATCATTTGGAATGCTGTGTGTCATTTTCCATCTCTGCCAGAAAGCAGAAGGGCAGGCCACCAGGCCAGGGGAGGGGGCAGTACCAAGAATAACCCACCACGAAGAGTCTTCCCTGTGGGGGTTGAGGCCTAGCCCAGGAGCAGCCACAGAGGAACAGGCGGAGAGGCCAGCAGAGGTCAGAGGGCTGTTTACCAAGCAGGCCAGAAGATGATTCATTTCCGCTGCTTTAGATGAAAAGGGGGACAGAAAAAAGCCTCCCAGGAGAAAGATGGGAAAAGCAACCTAAGACATGAAGGCAGTGGAGCAGAGAAGATGACAGGCCAGGGACAAACTTTCTCTTGTGCCAAATCCCAGGGGGATCTGTGGTGTAGAGAGAGTGCTTCTCAGGCCCTCTCATCCCCAGTCTGTGCTTCCTGGTGCCTGAGTAGTTCTCCTGGGGCACCTGAAGACTCTCTGTCCCCTGAAGCTCCCACAAACCCCAGAACTCAGAGGAGTCAAACACTGAGTTTCCCTTGACTTCTCCTCTTCTGTTTCTTCTGGGTAATGATGGAATGGGGAAGTTAAGTAAGGATTCCCCATGACCTGGTGAATGAAACAGTGTTGAGTCTCAACCTTAACCCCAACCCAGCCTTGATCTGTAAGGAGAGTTTCCCTGGGGTGGGGTCCATACAAACTTTTATCTCACAAAAGATTATTGTTTTTGTTGTTGTGTATAATCTAGTGGGAACCTCCCCATAGCTGAACCAGTTAATAACATGAGAGAAGATTGCCCTTCTTTCTTCCACAGAGCAGAGCTGCAACCTCTGGGTTAGTAGTGCAGCTTCCTGCATATTATGCTGCCAGAACAGGCATCTTGATTTTGAACTTCTAGTATCCTAGACTGTAAGGTAATGTCTGCTTGTTTATGCCTTTGTCCTATCTCTGGCTGAAAGTTCAGAATTTCAAAAGAATGTCTATTCATATTAAGTGTGCAAAAGCACTAGACTATGTAGATCACAACAAACTAAGCTAACATTGAGAAGAATGGGAATCCCACAACACTTAATTATGTTCATACTAAACCTACGCCTCTCCCAAAAAGCTCTGTCGTCCAAACAGAGTGGGGAGCGCTACATGGCTTAAAATCAAGAAAAATGTGCACCAGAGATATATCCTTTCTCCATATTTATTAAATCTTTATGCTAAGCAAATCCTTCAAGAAGCTGGACTCTATGAAAAAGGATGTGGCATCAGAATAGAAAGAAGGACCCGCCTCCAAGGACTCACCCGTAGCAACTGGCCTGGCGACGGTCACCTGGTGTCTGGGGGGCCCAGGCCAGTGCCTCTGTCCCTTCTGCAGCTCCAGGCCGACTGGCAGTCTTGGGCTGGACCCGGCTGCAGCAACAACCTTGGGACCCCGGCTGCTGCAGCGGCTGCTGAAGGATCAACGATAATGGATGGCAGCCGGAGAGTCCTCCCCAGATATGACACCCCATGCCTTCTTACGGGACATTTGAGCACCAAAAGTAACGCTTTTTGCACTGACTCCTCTCTCAGACTAAGCACATTCGAACTGGTGAAGAATCACATGATGGCTCATTATAATAAAATCCTTTCAGCCAAAGCGGCAATAGATTGCTCAGTTCCATTAAGTATGAGTAGCAGCATCAAATACACAGACCAACAACGAAGAGAGAAACTAAAAAAGGAGTTAGCACGATGTGAAAAGTTCAGATTAGCTAGAATGACAATGGAGGCCAATTCCAAAATGAAGTCCAGGTCATTATTAAACAGGCTGCTAAAGCCTTCAGGGAACCAGAAAAAGCTGACATGAGAGAAGAATTAAATGAATTGCCGTCTTTTACAAGGTCATCAGGACTCTCTTCGGAGAGATTCTTCCTTGGTCCATCTAAATCCAACAAAGCCTTCATGAATGGTACTGCAAAGAACTCCAGTTCCTCCCTCTTTAGTATGGAGGACATAGCTTCCCGGACCAGAAAAGCCAGCACCAGAACCGCCTGGGGCAGGGTGTCCAAGAGCTCATTCCCACATCCCCACCAGAATCCGTTAACTTCCTCCGAGGCGTCCAGTGGAGACTTCTTGGATAAACCTTCTGAACTCTTTTCTAACAAGCCATTGCCATTCACTCCATGAACTTTAAAGATAGAAGCAAAATCTTTCCTGTCACAGTATCAGTATTACACACCTGCCAAAAGGAAAAGAAAATCCTCCAGCAGAAGCTGAAACCCAGGCTGAACTGAGCAGTTTTACCTCTGATTGTCAGAAAGCAGAAACTGAGAGTTTGACAGATTCAGAAGTTTAATACAAAGCAGACAGTGCGATGTTTAACACATGGTAGCAAAGAAAAGGTCACACCTTCACTGTCATACAAGAGTAGCACAGCGTGGGATGAGACTGAAGACAGCATTCTTCAGAATTCTCATCAAGATCCTTGACAAGTTGCTCAGCTCTCTGCCCACCTCTGAGCTTATCAGCATATGGGACATTACCCCAGTTTTCACTGCAAAGCTCGTCGAGGACAAAAAGTCACTCTGATGATGAAGAACTATTGTACCTGAGTTTCACTGAAGATATAACAGATGAAATTTTGAAACTTGGTTTCTTTTCAAACAGGTTTTTAGAACTATTCTTCGAGAGACACATAAACGAAAACAAACAGCATTTGGAGGACGGGAAAATGCGCCACCTGCTACATGTCCTAAAGGTGAACTTGGGCTTCTTATCCAAGGAAAATTCTGATGTTGACAAATTATCT